TCTTTCAGCTGGCAAGGGAAGGCCACACTCCAGAGATCCATTTCCTCAGAAAGCCACGTTAATAAAGCGAAAGAGGATTCAAAAGCTGGTCGGTCATTGTAAATTAGCACTCTTGCTACCAAAACATCTCTCCCTTTGGTTTATTGTAAACCGTCCCTGTAAACTCCCTGTCACTCAGATTGCCTGGTAAGACTTTGGTGGTCGAGGATGCATCACCATCCAGTGTTGATTTTTGGTGCAAAAAGGGCAGGGTGGCATATCTGATGTGAAGGGCACTGGTGGAAAATTGGACCATATCCAAGATATACTTTTTTCTGGGGGCATAATGTCTTCATATGAGAAGTCACTGAATTCGATACAATCAAAGAGCCACACTATACCTGCATCCGAGGGGTCAGATAATTAGCAGGAAATTAGCATTGTTTAGATAAATATGATACTAGTAATACTATATTTTAGCACTGTGTGAACTGTATTTTACAAATAGACATATCTTGCCTTTTATAATAAATATAATAACAATAACAATTTTCTCCATGTTGAACTATCTGTTGGATTCAATTTTTTCTTTTTGCCTTAAAGTGTTTTAGATGCAAAAAGACTTGAATTCAATTTAACGATTTCTTAAAAATAGATTGACAAAAGTAACAATATACCTAAACTTCTGCTATTGACCCCTTGCATGTGACGTCCCGGCCACGCCCACTCTCCATGACAGACGGCAGAAGTCTACCTGCGAGCCTACGGACACCTGACCAAAACAACCTGTTTCAGCGCATTACAGCCAAAACTGTGACATTTTGCAGTGCGGTTGATTATACTAACAGGCAAGGACATAAGCTTTTTTATCTGATACCTGCTCGTCATGAAGACAGAAGACGACGATGGCGGCAATCAACCAAAAGGACTGGGACCCATCCAAGTACTCCCTAATATGCAGTGAACACTTTTTACAAGATAAAGCAATCACAAGTTTGTATCTATTTTATTTCCATTAATTTGGAGGACAATGACACACGTCAAACGTGTCTCTTACTACTGTCCTGTATGTGCGCTGCCACATTGACATTTTTATCTTTTAAGTCAATTGCGTGTTTCACTATTTTCTATTTTACTATTTTTTACTATTGCTAATGCTACCAGCAAAATGTACATATAAATCTGCTGCAGTGTGAAGGGATGCATTGTTAATGATAATGATAAAGATCATGTAGGGTGAATTCAGGCAAAAATAGACATTTTATTTAATCAATAAAATTGACTGTGGGGAGAAGGTACGGGTCAACATCTAGTTAGGCGATCCTTAACTTCTCCAAATACCACTCTTTGTGAACCCTGACCTGATGTCCTACTTCCTATAACGTAATCGAACATGTGCTTGAAGCAGCCACTTCTCGATTTAGGAGAGGAAGCTCCGTTTTTAAGAGTTGTAGTCCGTTTTGCTCTTGCAGCAATGCTAGTTTCCAATACTTCCGTCGTACGCTCATGCACAATCACGTGACTGGATGACGTTGATGCATCTGGTCAATTCAGAAGAGGCAATGATAAAATTTGTCCACTAGATGTCAGTGTTACAAGCTAGTCTGAGCTAGTGCAGAGGCTTCAATGTGTTAAGGGGCTTCATCTGCCCATCACTAGTGAACGGGAGACCTTTGAATGTTGCATGTTCTTAAAACTGTGTTTACAGGCAAACTATTGCAGCTAGATGAAAGGCTCTAGAGTCTAGAGGGAAAAGACTGCATTTTGACGCATATTCTTAGTAAATAAAATGCTTGAGAGCATGGAGAGTCTCTTGTTTGCCATCCGTGTATTTTGACTCTCGCAACGCATTGTATTGGATTGATTGACCGTCGCGTGTTTGTTTATGTGGTCTGGCGGGGTTCAATGCCACCGTTGTAGACAATGAACAGACTGGCACTTGTCTGCCGGTAAGTGGGGCAGCATCGTTATCAATAGAGAGGCATGTGGGCGATAAGTGTTTTGTTTCTAAAGGCAAAAAGGCGGCAAAAGGGCTGAAATTATCCATCCATACATTCTTCCCCTTAATCCATTTCTGGGTTGGGGGGTTGGCAGTCAGAGCTGCACCCAGGACACTAAGCACCAGACCCTCACTGATCCTCCTGCAGGTGTTGAGTCCACAGGAGCTGAGATCTTTCAGCAGGGGCTTCGGGCAAAAAAGAAAAAGTAATTTGTTATAGTTACTAGTTACTTCTCCCAAAAAGTAACTGAGTTACTAACGGAGTTACTCTACTATAAAAGTAACTAGTTACCAGTAAAAGTAACTATTGCGTTACTTTTTCGTTTTGTTCTGGAACATAATGTGCACTCGAGGTGCGTATTTTTACCTTTAACCTCAGTGAGTTTAAATAGTGCCAATATTTCCATCTAGAAAAGGCTGTTTTGCTGCTGGAGTCCTGTTCACTCTTCACCTCTCTCTGTGCTGTCAGCACTAAACACCAACACCCGCCACTGTGAATGTGGAAACACCGGTGAAGCACTGACCTCAGCCCAATCAGATGAACATATATATCATATAAATCAAAAGGACAATTTGTTTGGCTACAGCAAAATATGTTTCATGCCCGCATTGTTTGTACATACAAAACGCAAAACTATGAGTTATGGGTCTTACCTTATAAATGACCTGCACAGACCACTTCAGATCAGACCAGTTCCGTGTTTAAGTCCAGATAATAGTTTGAGCGTAGATATGTAATCCTCCATTTGGAAATGAGTCAAATGAGTTTTAAAAAGTAAAACAAAACGTGTGTCCTCCATAAACTCCTCTGTTTTGCTAGCTGCAGCCGGGTGCATCCAATTTCTAAAATCAACCGTCTTACACTTCACCTCTCTTTCTTATCATTCCTATAGTCATTGAAAAATTACCCTAAATGCATTTTAAATTATCTTAAAATGTGTTATATGTATGTTAGCCAAACCTGTTGCTGCCCTTAGCAGATAAACCAGGAAGAGAAAGGAGCTTATCAATGGAGTTGTATGCAGCCGACTTCTGCGCTTACATGCGCTGGCCTCACGATGATACAAGCCGTGGTTGAGCGCGATTAAGACCCATATTTGTTTCAAAAACACAATTTATGACCATCCTCTCAACTGTAGACATGTAGATTGTAAAGGAAATATGTTTTACATCAGCCAATTATTGCTGAGGTTTTCTCATCCTCCCTTCTCTCATGACAACACGCGCACAAGTCCTATCACGAAGTAAAAAGAGAATTGTGCGTCTTGAGTAACGCGCAGTAACGGGATGTCGGAAATGATAACGGCGTTATAGTTACAGTCTAAGTAATTAGTTAGATTACTCGTTACTAAAAAAAGTAGTAACGCCGTTATTCCCATCACTGCGGACAGGCTGTAGAAAACAACTAAATAAACGTAAGCTTTCTTGATAGACTGCATGTAAATTACAGTGGGACTGGCATAATATATATGATAAAACCCAGATAAGTAGAAAAGTGAGGAGGGCATTAGGTTCATAACGATGTGTCTCAGGGCTGGTACTTCCCCTAAACCTTAACTTTCAAGCTGTCGAGGTAGAGAGGGGTGAGGGAGGGTGAGTAGGGGTGAGGGAGGGCGGCATTGTGACCAAAAGAGGAATGCAGTGAGGTGGGGGCTGCTCTGTCTGATGTCTCTCCTTCCCGACTGTCTGCACCAGAGTCTGCCACGGGAAACTCCACATCACACAGCACCTTGACCCGTGGAGATGATGACTGCTGGCCCATCCTGTGCACTGGGGCAACGCCAGTGGATCACAGATAATCATAAAAACACAGTTGTATTCATTGTCCTCTTCAGGAAGTTGTTTAGTGCAGCACCAGGGATCATTATTCAGAAGTGGGAACAGGTCAGAGATGAGGAGTAAAAGTTATATGAAAGAAAAATAAAAAACTATGAAGATATATGTCATTTCAATTTATAGATCCACATTCAAAATACAGAGTGGCACCTTTCTTACCATCATATTTAAACTTAATTTATTATGCTAAAGCTACACAAATCCAGGCTCAGAAGTTCTCATTGTACAGTTTGACAGCAGCAGGAAGAGAAGGAAAAACTGTGGAGATATGTGGAACACCCTTGCAGCTGTCAAAAACTATCACTAACCACAAAACCAGGCACTTTGCAGATTCCTCATCAGTGTGTGTTGTTGAAAGAGTGTGTGTTGTTGGTTCTTACCACATCACTTGCACTGGAGAAGTCATTGTTGAGCAGACTCTCTAGCGCCATCCAGCGGACGGGTCGGTTCTCGTTGTCCCCCAGACAGTGGTAGTCCATGGGGAACAGGTCTCTGGCCAGAGCGTTGTCTGTGATCTTCACCTGCATGTTGTCGTCGATGCTGGAAAAGAACAGGACAGAAAAGATGTATCGTTCTATTCAATTTATGTTTGTTTAGCCCTAAATCACTACGGTAGTCATCTAGGAGGACTTCACAAAGTTAAAGGCTAGTGGCTAACTGCTAAGCTAGCAGCAAACGCTTTCTCTCTGCAAACTTTGGGAGATCACCATGGCAACACGTGCTGCATAGCTGTCTGCTGTTGTGACGCTAATGTAAATTTAAGATGTGGGTATTGGTTGTGCTGCACCGGGTCCTATGGTGTGAGTACGAATGAGAGTACAAGTCTATGGTATCGGTGCATCCCTGGCCAACACAGATCCGAGAGTCAAACAGTTCAAAAACAGGAAATGCAATAATAACAAACACATAGGAGCTATTGGTCGATAAGAAGCGAATGACCAATGTCCATAAATGTTAATAAATATTAATAAATGTCCTGGATCATCACCATAGATCATCATTAGCATGAATTTGCATCTGTCCTGCCCTGAGTGACCCCCCTCCATGGAGGCCACCTCTGTGTCCTGGCTGACCCCTCTGACCAATCCACTCCTGAGTGTGACATCACAGCTGGTATATAAGGAGCTGGTATTGACTAAAGAGTTCTGTAGCTCTGGGAATGCTCTCAAACATCAACATTATGTAGGAGCTAAGGCCTAGAGCTTTTAGTGTCATTAAATGTCTTCTTTCATATCTATTTGGTTTGGGCCTAGTATGTAGAGCAACAAAAATCATGTTTCCAGTCCAAACACATGATTGTGTTTGGACTGGAGAGGCGTTACTGCACGGGCAAGATTAGAAATCCATTCTAACTAAGGCGCAGCCTCGCGTCAATACGTCATACACGCATATAACACTAGTAGTGTAACTGTCACCATAGGTTAAAATGGAAAAAGGTTATGGGCGTACTCTGCGCATTCAACGCTTACATGCTGCTCCTGTGTAAATTAGTCAGCCAAAGGACAGAGCACCAACTCAACAGAACACTGTATGTGTCATGCAGATTTTTTCACGTAACATTTTGACTGTTGGCAATTTTTTGTTATTTGTTAAACTGTGTCCTTTTGAAATTTTAATCACATTGAAATTTGTAACCTGAATTTTTAGTGACTGAAATGCAAAGACATTTTTGTCTTTGCATACCATACTTAATTATTTATAACCATGCTTTTTCATGATTATAAATTTCAGATAAGTAAAAATGAGAGACTGAACAAGCTGGTCAGGAGGGCCAGCTCCACTCTGGGCTGCTCCCTGGACTCTGTGGAGGAGGTGAGGGACAGGAGGGTGCTAGCCAAAGCCACCTCCATCATGAACAATACCTCCCACCCACTGCACAGGACTGTGGAGGAGCTGAGGAGCTCCTTCAGTGGAAGACTGAGGCACCCTCAGTGTAGGAAGGAGCGCTACCGCAGGGCCTTCATCCCCACCGCTGTCAGACTGTACAATAAGTCACTTTAAATGATCACTGTGTGAAAACCTGCACTACTATTGACACTGTTTCCAATTGACACTTGTCACTTTTGTTGTACATATATCCTGCATGTAACATGTTTGCACATTTCCTCCCTTTGCACAATCTGAGTGTTCTATCCATGCCAAATGTGACATGTAAATTTCTCCTCTGTGAGATAAATAAAGCAATCTTATCTTAAATGCAAACTGTAGTCTCTCATGACAATTACACTTAATTAAATAGTCTTGCATAAAAAACACATAACTGACAATACCGCTGTTATTACAACTTTATTTCCACTTACACACAGTTCCTGGCAGCGAGGTCTTTGTGGATGACTTCTCTTCGGGACAAGTAGCTCATGCCACATGCGATCTGAACGGCCATGTAGACCAGGTCCTGCTGAGAGACCGCCTGCAGGAAACAAGCAGATTTACTTATATTGCACTTGCACATTTCAGACAAAAGCTGTAGCTCAATAAGTTTAACACCAAGAGAGACTGGAAACTCATGATCAAATATGGTAAAGGTGGGTGAATTTTTAAATCTGGTGGAAAGAAAGTTTGAACAACTGAGTCTTCACCAGTATTTACTCTAACATAAGATTGTTGTTAAGATTGTCCCAAAACAAAACAAATAATTGGATTCATTAAATAAAGCAAAAGTACAAGTACAAGCATTAGGCATTAAAATCATAAATAATCAGAGTACATTAAAAAGAGTGAAGATACAATCCTTCAGTTGTATGCACAGCTAAATGGAACAGGTTTTAACAAGAAGCCCGTCTTACATTTGTAGGAAGACTGTTCAATATTTTAACTTCATAAATCTGTACATCTGCATTGAGATGTGTAGTTCTGACCCGGAGGCCAGTCCCTGTGCTCCTCAGAGTCAGAGTTCGTTCATATGGCGCTAACACATCCTGGATTTTCCTTGGTGTGAGCCAATGGAGGGACTTAAACAAAAGCAGAGCTGCTTTAAAGTCCAAGTAATACTAACAATATTATATGAGTGATTCTAGGGCTAGGCAATAAATCATATTTAGGCAATTTTTCAAAATCAAATATGTGAAAAATGTGAAAATTGTGAAATCGAATGAAGGATACTGTGAGAGTTCCAGCAGCACACGAATTATACTTGCAATATCATATTGGGGGAAACAAATTAAACATAGTTTTGAAACTTGAATATTGAGCCAAAAGATCAGGGCAAAGTCCGTCTTCAGTGACTTTAAAGAAAATCGATTTAAAATCGTCCAAAGCAGTAAATAAAATTGAGATTTTACTTTGTGATTCTATCTATGCCAAATGTGACAAATAGTAAATTTATCCATTGTGAGATGAATAAAGTTGACCTTATCTTATGAATAACATAAGTCATATTTTTCTCTTTTGAATAGTAAGTAAGTAAGTAAAACTTACCTACTTACTTACTATTCTCTTTTGAATAGTAAGTAAGTAGGTAAGTTTTATTTATATACCGCCTTTCACAGACCAGAGTCACAAAGCGGTTTACAATTGTTATTTTTTGGGCACTTGTCTCTCACTCCACACAGAGATGGGAGAGGGGTCGCCAGTACAGGAGGCGCATGCCAGACCTATTGTACATATTTTTAGTGGTAGGGGAAACCGGAATACCCGGAGGAAACCTACGCAGACACGGGGAGAACATGCAAACTCCACTCAGAAAGGCCCTGGTCCAACCGGGATTCGAACCCAGGACCTTCTTGCTGAGAGGCGAGAGTGCTATCCACTCAGCCACCGTGCCGCCGAATACAAGCTTTTAAATGTACTCCAGACTTAAGTTCCACTATAAATCCGCTGTACAATAAATACCTGAAATTAGGACCAAAAAAGTCACAAGCCCAAAAACAATGAAGTTATATCTAAGTTCAAAAGACAACCTCGACCTGTTTTCAATGTGTCATTCATCAGCAGCACTTTATCTGTGTCTAATTGAGACATTTCTGATTTCGTAATCTTATCCAACAATGGGAACAGCGCTAACATCATTAATTATCCTCAGGGAACATGGAAACAACACCTTCTCAGATAGATGACAACAGGAGAAAAACATTGCTATCAAAGCACCACATGATTCAAGAACTTAGACTTCACACTTCAAAACAAGATCAGTATTTAAGGTTTGAGATTTTCAAAGTTATTTTCCTATTCGTTGGTTTCATATAAATAATCTTGTTTTTTTTTTTTTGCCGAAAAGATTCGATTTTTGACCCCGACGACATGCACAAATGTTGGCACATGGGTTTGGTGAAAAAGATATTTGGAGCCTCGTTTCTCTACCCCTTTTTGGAGTAGAGCAACAAAACTCAGAAGACTGATAGATCTCTATGAGACAAGTGTAAAGGCCGGTCAGAGTCACTGTGACCAAGATTTGGTAGGGATGAACCGACACCACTTTTTTCAAAACCGAGTACTTTAATTGGAGTACTTGCCGATACACAGTACCAATACGAGAACAGAAATGTGTTATCCCTGGGAATTCATAAAACTAATACAACAAAAATGTTAAATGTTTTATTTCTCATTTCAACAATAAGAAAATGTTTTAACAATGAAACATTTTAGCAATTGACATACAAAGTCCCCCAAAAAATGCGAAATGTGTCCCAGGGGTCTTCTTAATTTATCTAAATACATATAATACTAATGGCTTTGGATGAATAACTTATTTTATCCTCACAGCAGCAGAAGAACGCTCCACTGATTTGAACGCAATTTCAAATCGTTCTACCGATCAATATTTCTTGATAACAAACCTCTCAAACCAATAATGACCACTGCCCTTTGGCAACGAAATTTGCCTTGTAATTGAAGTGTGTAAAGATCACTCCACAAAGTAGTCCGGCCACTTCGTAAACAGGCTTTTAGCGACACGGCACCTGTCACTACTTCTGTCTCTGCAAGAGAACCTGTGGAGCTAGCCACAATAAACACAAAATACAGTTTTAATGTGACAAATATGCTAACGCTGTAAACCCGGAAGTAACCATTAACTTAAATAAAAAATTTCAGGACGCATTCACAGATGATCTGATTATGGATGTAGGTTAATTTTATATAAGGCTCGTGACGTTCAGAATTCAGTTTTCATGTAGTTCGAGAGAGTTCTAGTTTTGAAGTAGCTAACCATAGACTGTACAGTGCCTTGCGAAAGTATTCGGCCCCCTTGAACCTTTCAACATTTCGCCACATTTTAGGCTTCAAACATAAAGATATAAAAAAAAAATGTTTTGTCAAGAATCAACAACAAGTGGGACACAATCGTGAAGAGGAACAAAATTTATTGGATAATTTAAACTTTTTTAACAAATAAAAAACTGAAAAGTGGGGCGTGCAATATTATTCGGCCCCCTTGCGCTAATACTTTGTAGCGCCACCTTTTGCTGCAATTACAGCTGCAAGTCGCTTGGGGTATGTCTATCAGTTTTGCACATCGAGAGACTGGAATTCTTTCCCATTCTTCCTTGCTTGTGGCCAAAAAGTTTGATTTTGGTTTCATCTGACCAGAGCACCTTCTTCCACATGAGTTTGTGTAAGCCCTCAGTCGTACAGGGATTAGTCAAAGCAAAGGAAGGTTTCTCACCCATCATCTGTACTTCTTAGCAAGTTTTCCCGACGTTTCGTCCTCAACCTAGCGGACTTCTTCAGGGAATGAATTCTCGGACCGCGCGTTGGAGATTTATAACCTATGGGTGTGGTAAGCCACACCCTAATCCTGATACTAACTCGTAAACAAACTAAGGTCTGCTTGATGTAGAAGGGAGCAGGTCTAACGACCCTGCTGAGGCTAACGATCCTAACTCATTAGCATGTCACAGACCTATTGTCTGCTGGGATGCTCAAGTGGAGTGCAGGTCTCACCCCTCCTAACTCATTAGCATGTCACTGACCTTGTCCCAAGTTAGGGCGTTGTTTTTAGGATGTCGTCATAGATGCGAGGCAAAACAAATCTTAACCCTCCTCCTCTGTTAAGAGAAGGTTTTTGTTTCCTCACAAAAATGGCTTCTTTCACCCCTCTCTCAAACCAATTCTTCTCCCGAGCCAGAATTTTAACCTCGGTGTCATCCACCGTGTGATTGGAGGCCTTGAGGTGGAGATGAACAGCCGACTGTGGCCCACTAGAGTTTTCTCTACGATGTTGGTAAAGTCGTTTCTGTAGAGTTTGTTTGGTTTCTCCAATATAGTGGTCAGTGCACTCCTCTTCACTACATTTAATTGAATACACCACATTGCTCTGTTTGTGTCTGGGTGTTTTGTCTTTGGGATGCACTAATTTCTGTCTTAACGTGTTGAAAGGTTTGAAATACACAGGGATTTTGTGTTGCCTAAAGATTCTTTGTAGTTTCTCTGAAACTCCCGCCACATATGGTAAGGACACCCCTCTCCTCCTACTTTCTTCTGTCTGTTGGACTGTGTCTCTGGCCTTTCCCGTCCTTTGGGCTTTAGTAAAAGACCACTTGGGGTAGCCACATCAGATGTGGGGTAGCCACATCAGATGTGGCGGGAGTTTCAGAGAAACTACAAAGAATCTTTAGGCAACACAAAATCCCTGTGTATTTCAAACCTTTCAACACGTTAAGACAGAAATTAGTGCATCCCAAAGACAAAACACCCAGACACAAACAGAGCAATGTGGTGTTTTCAATTAAATGTAGTGAAGAGGAGTGCACTGACCACTATATTGGAGAAACCAAACAAACTCTACAGAAACGACTTTACCAACATCGTAGAGAAAACTCTAGTGGGCCACAGTCGGCTGTTCATCTCCACCTCAAGGCCTCCAACCACACGGTGGATGACACCGAGGTTAAAATTCTGGCTCGGGAGAAGAATTGGTTTGAGAGAGGGGTGAAAGAAGCCATTTTTGTGAGGAAACAAAAACCTTCTCTTAACAGAGGAGGAGGGTTAAGATTTGTTTTGCCTCGCATCTATGACGACATCCTAAAAACAACGCCCTAACTTGGGACAAGGTCAGTGACATGCTAATGAGTTAGGAGGGGTGAGACCTGCACTCCACTTGAGCATCCCAGCAGACAATAGGTCTGTGACATGCTAAGGAGTTAGGGTCGTTAGCCTCAGCAGGGTCGTTAGACCTGCTCCCTTCTACATCAAGCAGACCTTAGTTTGTTTACGAGTTAGTATCAGGATTAGGGTGTGGCTTACCACACCCATAGGTTATAAATCTCCAACGCGCGGTCCGAGAATTCATTCCCTGAAGAAGTCCGCTAGGTTGAGGACGAAACGTCGGGAAAACTTGCTAAGAAGTACAGATGATGGGTGAGAAACCTTCCTTTGCTTCTTCTTCCACATGTTTGGTGTGTCTCCCAGGTGGCTTGTGGCAAACTTTAAACAAGACTTTTTGTGGATATCTTTGAGAAATGGCTTTCTTCTTGCCACTCATCCATAAAGGCCAGATTTGTGCAGTGCACGACAGATTGTTGTCCTATGGACAGACTGTCCCACCTCAGCTGTAGTTATCTGCAGTTCATCCAGAGTGATCATGGGCCTCTTGGCTGCATCTCTGATCAGTCTTCTCCTTGTTTGAGATGAAAGTTTGGAGGGACGGCCGGGTCTTGGTAGATTTGCAGTGGTCTGATACTCCTTCACTTTCAATATAATTGCTTGCACAGTAAAGGGGCAGAATAATATTGCACGCCCCACTTTTCAGTTTTTTATTTGTTAAAAAAGTTTAAATTATCCAATAAATTTCGTTCCACTTCACGATTGTGTCCCACTTGATTGTTGATTCATGACAAACAATTAAAATTTTATATCTTTATGTTTGAAGCCTGAAATGTGGCGAAATGTTGACAGGTTCAAGGGGGCCGAATACTTACGCCTATCTCCGCCGTTCAAACAAATGGGCCAAAATTTGTGCTCTACTGGAGCTATCCAAAATGGCCGCGAGTGGTCCCGCCCACAAGAAAATTGTGGAAAAACGCATCTGTGCATGCGTCAGCCGGCGCAGCTCCATTCATTTAAACGAGTGACTTCAAAAATTCACAGCAACTAAACTAGACTGGTCCAAAAAAAATTCACTCCCCTCAGCATTGACACACATGTGGAACGGAGCTTTGGGCCAAGAGCCAACTTTTAGACCATCCTGTAAAGACGTTTTTGAGAGGTAAGAAGATGCTATATGTTAGCATTGGCTAATTCTTATTCCGTGTCCACCCCCATCGGCCCGGGGTGGTATTGCAAGTATGTCAGCGCACGTCATTTTGGCTACTTTTGAGTCGGGACCCGCCCCCACTGTAGCTAACTGTTAATCGCCTAGCCGCAGCAAGGCAAAACCTTCGGGAACTATTTAATTTGCAGTCATTAAATAAACCATTCGGCATTCATAAAAGTGGACTGAAGTTTATTTTATGTGTTCAGTTGGCACAAAGCCGTATAATAAGCGGGATAATGTATGGAACGCAGGTCATTATCGGAAAATAAGTACCTTCAGGGCGGAAGCAGTCCAGTTCGCCCTGTCGGTACTTATTTTTTCGATAATGACCTGCGTTCTATATTATATTCTATATTATCCCTTACATAACGAACTATTCAAAGTCATATCTTGCTTATTTGAATACAAGTTTTTAAATGTATGGACATTTATCAATATTTATGAAGGTTCTACTCGTTTATCATTGCAATTCTTGTGTTTTAACCGTTTCCCTGATCTGTATTAGCGATTATTAGTTTTGTAAAGTCCTCCAAGATAACTACTGCTGTGATTTAGGGCTATACAAAAATAAGCTGAATTGAAGAGCGGGTGGGGCTGTGATTGCTAGTAATGGTTTTCATAATTACTTGTTTGTACAGATATGATTCTTTTATGAATGACTGAATCTTGGAAACACTTTAGCGCCTGTGAAAGTTTGCTCTGTGCCCTGTTTTTCCTGTTTACTTCTCTCGCACCACTATATGACTGTCTCTTTGTCTCGTGCAGGTGCCAGAGGTCTAAGAAATGATCCTGATGAGATCTGAGCAGCCGTGCGTTCGCTGTGCCTTCACAAAAGAGGGTTTGATGGATGTAAACGGTGGCAAGCTGCATCTTGCGATCACTACATCTGTATTTTGGAGCCGATTGAGTGGTTTGGAGCTGAGCTGTTGCTTTGCCAAGTACTTCAAAAGACTCCCAACAAAAGCCATATTGTCTTTACCCACTGAATGAGAATCTGTGCCTTAAGCGCTGCCCCATAACTTTATCAACAGGCCTCTAATCAGAGCGTAAACAGTAGTTAGATGGAAGTGTGAGGAGATGGGTGCGCATACTTGTCGCCTGGCAGACTTTTTCTTGCGTTTAATTGCTTACACTCTGCCCAAGCGAGAGAAGGGTGATGGAGGTAATGGAGTTTGAAGCTAATTTTGTCACAATTCATGCACAATCTTGTCAAATAGGTGATTATGGTTAATAAACTTTTCCTCATTATGAATGTTTTTCAACCAGTAAAGTTCCAATTATACTTTTTAACTTTTGAATGGGCTGGAAACAGCAGCTTTTTTTTCTATCTGTAAATGTTACTATTTTACACTGATCGAGACCAGAGCAGAGAGGATTCATGGTCCAAACCAAGCAGAGCAAGAGGAAATCGACTAGAGGGATTTCCTCTTTCATTTATTTGAAAAATGCTAATAAAGTATTCAGCATTTTCACTCTGAACCAGAGCAGAGAAAATGATCGGAACCAAGCGGCTATTCCACCTCTGCTGCTGTGACCGATTCTGGCCTTTGCCGCCCGTAAACTCCGGTCAATTATACTTTCCCTACATGTACGTCTGGAGTAAAGTAATCCGAATGTCATTGCTGGCAAATATGTTGTGGCTCTACTCCCCTAGGCTAAATGCTAAATGCTGGCGACTCACTAGGGCATATTACATACGTCACGACATCCATAAACTAAACATAAACTATAGAGTATTTCTATAAACTTTTTTGAAATATTACCCATAGACCGACCTGTGGGTTGTTAGCCTCGGCGAGTTTGCACTGACGCAAGAACAGCTTGAGGTTCCCCCAAGCCACGAAGGGCAGCAGCACCATGGGCTTCTCCCCGTCCTCTGTGCACACGTGACTGATGGGCAGCAGGTTTCTGAGAGAAATAAAAAAATATATTTATTATATAATCCTCAAACTAAAACAGCGTCAGGCAAACTGTCTATATACTGTAGATTATCTTATTGCCTATATCAGGAAGTAAGTAAGTTAAAAAAAACTTTGTTTAAAGCGCTGTTCACAGACCAGGTTAAGAGTGCTTCAAATTCTACAGTAAAGACAATCTACAAATATCAGTGAAATACAAAATACAACTACAACCTACACTTGGAGCACGCATACTCCGCCCACACCACAAATCATCTCAACAAGAACATTTTAATTGTATAGACTTTCAAAGCTGGGGTAACTAACATTAACTATGTAATAAAAAAAATAAACTATGTAATAAAATCCATCTACTGTAACAAGTTCCTCGCTCTCACAACAGTTTGGCCTCTGTCACATCTGTCAGATTTTTCAGACAGAGACATGAAAACCAGAAGACCATCCACTCTCAACCAAAAGTGTTTAGTAACTTTTGATGCAGACTGAATGTTGTGGTCGGATTTAACATAATAGTAGCAGTTTATTTTCATTGGTCATCATGAATATTTAGATCTTGAGTCGCATGATTTTTCGAAGATTTTGCACATTTTAAAATAGGAACAAAAAACATTACAAAAATTAAAATGCTATATGATGTGAAAGTTGGTAGAGCATTGGCCTTCAGGCCTGAAGGTCGTGGGTTCAATTCCCACCTCTACACCTTCTCCACCGACTCCCACTGATGACTGCTGTCGTTGTGTCCTTGGGCAAGACACTTAACCCCACTTTGCCCAAAGCCCCCGCTGAAAGATCAAGGCTCTGCTCACACTCAGAGAGCAGCCGTCCTCCTGTGGACTCACCACCTGCAGAGGTTCAGTGAGGGGCTGGTGCTATGAGACTTGGGTGGCATCTCTGACTGCCACCCCCCTGACCCAGAAATGGATTAAATAGTAGAAAATGGATGGATGGATGGATGATGTGAAAGGGGTCAAGACTCATGCTTCCTAACTCACTTTTACAAGACTCTTTCTGATGGTACAACCAAAATGTTATCATTATAGTATTATTTATGTACAAAGTTAGCCCCATGTGTACAGAAAATGGTGCAGTCTTTTCATCAAACCTCAAGAAAATAGTAAGAACATATTTTCTATCTGTATCTGAGGTTTTTGAATCGTTCCTTGCCGATGCAGGAGAGTCTAAGAACAGTGATGATCTGGGAAATTTAAGGACATCTATAGACATTGGTCATCCCACCCCCTATGGACCAATGGCTCCTATATGTTTGTCATTATTGCATGGTTGAAATGTGGTTAAGGTAAAACAGCTGCAGTATATCCAAAATGCTGCAGCTCAAGTTCTGACTAGAACCAAGTATGTAAGTATGACCACATTAGTCCAGTTCTCAGGTTTTTGCACTGGCTTCCTGTGCCTCAGAGAATAGACTTTAAAGCAGCTCTAATTGTGTATAAATCTCTCCATGGCCTCGCACCACAGTATATCCGAGACATGTTAGCGCCATACAAACCAGCTCTGACTCTGAGGAGCACAGGGACTGGCCTCCTGCTGGTACCCAGGGTCAGGATTAATTATGGGGAGGCACCGTTTCAATTCATGCGGCCAGAATTTAGAACAGTCTCCCTGAGCTTGTGAGACAGGCCTCGTCCCTGGAAATGTTTATGTCCAGGCTGAAAACAGTCTTATTCAGGTATGCATATGACTAATTTGAAGCATTTTTTAAATTCTTAACTTTTATCTTTTTTAATACAATATGTTTTATATGTGTATACACCGTTTTACGTATTATTGTCTGTCCTTTAATTGCTTGTGAAGCATTTTGGGCTACACTGTATGAATTGTGCTTTATAAATAAATTTGATTGATTTGAAGGAATCGATAACTTGCCTAAAATATTGAATTCATAAAAACCCTAACAAAGACATACTTCATTGTAAGGTCACAATATTCAGACCCTGTGGTCATTATTTTTGTTGACAACATTTGCCAAAAGTTTCAGACCTCTAGGTTATATAGTTTTGATGCAGTGGCCCTTTTACATAAACTTGTGCCATTTGGCCTTATTTGGCACACTTTGTGCCAATATGTGCCACACCGTTTTGCTCAAATAAAAATCCAAAGGTTTTTGTTTTGGTACTTAAAAGCTTCCTTACTGCATGATTTCAAAGTTTATATTTTTGTTACAGTGTAATTACAGGCTGTGTAAAACATGCTTAGTTTCCTTGTGTTTTTTGCTTTATTACATGGATGTTTCTGTAAATAAGTCAGGAGTCAAATACCAAAAAACGAACACAGCTGTAAATAAAACATGACATTATGGTCCATGTCAAATACAGATCAATCTTGGTTGCTCTGACATGACCTTTTTGGATAAAACAGAAAAAATACACTGGGAGTGAATCTTACTGTTCCGCCTTCTGCAAATAATGAAATCCAATGTAAATGAAAGGACATTTTTACAGCTCCATCAACCATTCACAAAGAGAATACAGAATGTGGTTAATGGGTAACTTTGATTCCGATCTATCCTTTGTATTTGTGATTTTTCGCTCACCTGTGATGAAGTCCACGGAGCTTACAACTCTCTGTCAACATCATGGTCACCTGCACTTCTGATGCATGATCTACAAACACAGATACAAAAAGTTATGTTTTATCATTGTCTATTGAATCTCCAGAAACAAATGCTGCAGTCTGAGTTACATCGTCTTGTCTTCCCATGTCCCTCAAGCTAAAGCAATCTCATCATTGTTTGAATTCTCACCAATCCCTTATACACACACAATAAATCCAAGTTGGTTCTTTTTTCACAATGCAGATTTGTCTGACCTGGTATCAACTTCTAACCATCAGATTGGGTGGATAAGCTGTCGGTCTTTGGTTGTTTAGTTGATTAGTTGGTCAATTATTTCTTATTCCATCTATAATCAATGTACAAAAGGTTTCCATGGGGAAATGAGAAATAAGCTGGTAATCAAGGCAGGTCAAACTGTGGGATTTACAAAGGCTTCATTCATTCATGCCTATATTATACATTAGTTTCACAATTTAAGTAGAATTATAGAAATAAATCTGAGTTTCACCTGGTTTTACAATCTGCGCTGAGGGAAATAAACTATTCTTGAAAGTAAGGCTTTTCGCTGGGCATTGTTTGCAATACTACGCTGGCCTCTCACTGACCCCTTTGTGACTTTACTCCATAATTAATAGACAAATACATGCACCAGTCCGAATCACGACTTCAACCTTATCAGCGATTTTATTTGCTTCCTGTGTGCCGTAATGTTTAGTGGGAAAGTGGAAAAAAACAAACTGTGCTAACCGCTCTGCCTGCGACTCGAGGAGAGACGCATTGTTCACTTCCCGAACGGGACACAAGGCGGAAAGAGGTTTTAACACGGTCCCAGATCGGATTGAGGACTGAGGAAACACAGCCCTAACAGACGGCACACGGGAGACCTCCATCATCAAAGTGGTAGAGATTCAGAGGTTGTGATGAAGGCAACTCCAACACAATTCTTCAACTTTAACCTAATAGAATATATCAAGAGAACCCCAAAGAAATCTGCTCAGTTCCATGTGCTACGAGGGATCAAACCATAGAAGTAGAGGTGAGGGAAAAAAAGATATTGCGATATTTAATTCAATTATTATCCGTTTCACTTTTGGGTTTACGCCAAGATTATGGTTACTCTATTATGGCTGCTTTTTTGTGACTCAGGTCCTGTGTCCTGAATGTTCAATATAAAGGTTTTTGCACTTTCCTCCTACATTTTTGCACTTCAGGCTTGTGCACAAAAGTTGGTCATACCCAAATGTTTTTGCCTATTTAAAAATATATCATACACATCACATGCTTGTGAGATATATACATTTAAAAGCAAGAGCCATCTAGTTTATGCAAATATATGGATTAAATCTCCATACTGGATTATATTTCAGAAATCAAAAGTGGATATTGCATTTCCATGGACATTTACGGAAGAAATGAGCACGCATGGATTACTCGCTGTGGCTCATTTACCTTTTTATTTGTGCTTCATATTATGCTTTATATCTTTTTAGTGTAAAGTCTGGTATTGTCTGCACTTGTATCTTAATGTAGATGAGAAAATAATCTTCAAAATGATGAACAGCTTGTGGGGTTTGAAGACCATAATAAATGTGCTTTTACAAGCTGAACTCTGGAAAAAAAACAGAGACGGTGGGTGTTAAGTGGTTAATGTGTAGATCATTATAAATGTGACATTTGAGTATTTTCCTCAATTTTTGTAATGCCTTTGAATAATATGAGTGACATGAATCGTAATACATCGCATCTCGCATCTATATATTGAATTGTGCCCTAGATATCGCAACAGTCATATTTTTGCCAATTCCCACCTGACATACAATCAATATATACTTTGGGGTTTATTAAGCTAATAAAGATTTGATTTGAGTCATTATCAGCATAACAACATAATTCAACCAATAACTGATCCAACTTGCATGGATTCGCCTGGATACTCGATTCACGATTTTTTAAAAACCAAACAGAAATGAAAACATTAACAACATGATGACAACATTACCCTTCACAGTCTTGACAAAGACTTGCTTCTCTTTAGTCGGATCTTTCTCGTCCAGCAGCACTCCGTGGAAGATGCGCCCAAAAGTGCCTGAAAAACATTTACACAAACTTTTTTTATTTGGGAAGAAGACTCATTCACAAGGCAGGACTGGTGGAAAGTAGTGATGATCCAGGACACTCAACATTTATGGACATTGGTCATCTGCTCCCTCTCATCTGCTCCCTCTCATCTGTTTGTTTTTTATCATTGCATTTCTTGCGTTTGAACCGTTAAATTCTCTGATTTGTGTTTGTAAATTCAACGGTTTTGTTAAGTCCTCAGAGAAAGCTACTGTTGTGATTTAGGGCTATACGAGAATGAACTGAATCGAATTGAATGCTATAACACTTTCTGATAATGTTTGACTCTTTCCAACTAGTTCTGGAATAAAAACGTTCGATTGGGGAATAATTTGCATAACCGGAAGTAGATTTTGGTTTGTCTCAACTTGGAAATCACAAAGAATGCAAATCTACACACTACATAGCAGTAAGTAATCTTTATTTATATAGCGCCTTTCACAGACCAGAGTCACAAAGTAGTTAGCACTCGTGTTCACAACAAGAAGGACACAGGTTTGATGCCTTTCTACATGGAGTCCCCATGTCTGCAAAGGTTCCATCCGTGGTACAGCGGTTTCATTGGCTACCACTAAAAACATCTACAATACTTCGAAATGTCCCTGCTGTGGGACAAATAAAGGTTCTCTTTTCTTAATATGAGTGCGTGTTTGAGGTTTTTAAATCTAATCTAAAAATGTTTTACACCTTTTTAACCCCATCAAAAGTTTTACTTTTTACATGTATTTGTATGTATTTTATGATGTTTGCTTTTATTGTTTATCTTTCGGGTCTGAAGCACTTTGGGGAGCTGGTGTTGTAAATGTGCTATACAAACAAACCTGACATTGACATTGTGAGTGCGGGACAACAGATGCAAATTTGACCAAGGCTACTCCCTGGAGGCTACATGCACCAAATAAACTATAAATTACTGTAATTTAGGTTAATACAGTGGACTCCCAACAAAGTATCTTGTGTTCAAACTGTTAGATTCTTTTTCTATTTTTTTTTCTATTCTTTTTTTTGTGATAAATTTTGTATTTATTTGTCCATTTTAGTTTCTGCCACTGATGCATAGGTACATGTAATCTGAATTGTTATGTTATTGTAGAGTTACATTGCAGGTTCACATGTTCACATTCACCCTCACATCTCTTACCCTAAGCACACCATACATACTTACATACTTGAGTTTGTCTCTTGTACTAGACAAGAGACAAACTCAATTCAATTGGGGGATGGGACTACAGATGGAAATGAGCCTTTGGCTATAATCTGGCATGTTTACATTCATGTTTCTAATGTGTCTGTTCATTGAAATGCACTGTCCCATTCAAATAAATAAATAAATATAAATAAATAAATATTTTTATATAGCCCTAAATCCCAACAGCAGTAATCTCGGAGGACTTAACAAAACCGTTGAATTCACCAACACAGATCAGGTAATCAACAAACAGACGACTGCTGTAGTGATTTTGGGGCGATACAAAAATAAATTTAATTGAATTATCAGTCCTGCACCCTCATTTCACACACGTTTCAGAAACAGTTTAGATACATGTGTAAGAATGTTGTTATTCCTACAGACTTTGTTATGAACAAGGGAAATCCATTTCTTGGGGCTATTGGCCAGTGCAATAAAAACCTATTTCCTAGCATCCTGTAACATAACGCACTTTAATAACCAAATCAAGCTTTGTCGTCTTCTGCTTTGTCTAAACTGTCAGAGCCTCAGGTTGTGAGTGAAGACAGAATTGAGAATTTAAACTCTCCGTAAACTGCTGCCTCCGGGGTAAACCACAGAGAAAAGGCCAAACAACAGACTGAATGTTGTAAGCAGCTCCAAACCTGCTCAGACCTGCATCGCCTCAGAACAAGAACTGTCTCCTCGGGTCGACTCAACTCCATGCAGCTTTATTAAATGTTTTTTTTTCCCTTGGTTAAATATAAGTTCAGCCTTTTTTTCTTAGAGAACAAGAAATGCTGCCATATACAAAGGCTCTTTCTTTTCATTTCAAATATTGTGCAATGATTTTGGTCAGGTCCAGTGGTGGCAAAATGCAGTAATCAGACATTTCTATTCCACCTAAAATGACCCACACTACCGAATTTAGATATTTCAACCTTTATAGTCTTCAGATAAACACGTTGGATTAAAGCTGTAGAGACACTAAAGCCTAGTGTATACTTGCGCGGCGTGGCTTACTTTAGCGGTTGCGGTGGACCTACGTAAGCACAATTGACGTTATACTGGCGCGTTCCCCTTACGGAGTTTTGAGGAGAATGTTGTAATCCCACAACAAACCACATGAGGGCGATCACACAGGAGCGGTCCCATTTACGCTGCTACTTTGTCCTCTTCAGAACAACAATAGCAAACAAAGCTGTTTGAGCTCATTACACGTATATATATGTTAGATAGTCCACAGTCTCCTGTATATCAGGCTCTGAGCCCAAACTGCTTTTCCTTCGAAGCACAAAGCTCTCTGCTCCATAGTGCCTCGTCCATGTCCCTGCTGCAGCCGCTTAATGCTTCCTTCCAATACACACACACGGACCAATCACAGCGGAGATTCCTTGCGGCGACCCTTACGTAGTTAGAAAATGTTGATGCTGCAGGGCAGGCAATGTAAGGGCCTTGCGGTGAGCAACGCGTTGCGCAAGTGACGTCACGTCACCTTCGTAAGCTCCGCGCCGCGCGAGTATACACTAGGCTTAAGGTTCTGAGACCATATTAGGACATGCTTACACTTTAAAACCTCTGATAAGAGAACATTTCTGGATCGCTGACTTTAAAAACACATTTAAAACCAAGTTAAAGTTTAAATATGGTAGGTTTTGAAATTCTAGAAATTAATGTCATACTTCCAGATGGAGGCCCCATTTCATTGTACTCCACTAGGCTTACTTATGTACCAAAACCTTAGTCTGTATAAATATATTTCAAATTATTGAAATATATATTGAAAATGAATTAAACAATGTATTTTTTCCTGGATATAGCATTAATATTATTCAATACCTAATAGTTGTAAATCATAAATACATGTTTTTGTCCCAGCACAAAGAGTCTTTTACAATGCCTTGCGAAAGTATTTGGCCCCCTTGAACCTTTCAACATTTTGCCACATTTCAGGCTTCAAACATAAAGATATAAGATAAGATATAAGAATCAACAACAAGTGGGACACACAAACTTGAAATCATCTCCCATACGACTACTGACGACAAAACCAGCACATAACAGTTGAACACAGCGATACCAATGAATTCAAAAACTGGTTCTACTGGGACGTTTACAGAAATCTCAATTGAGGGCATTTATAATTTAAATATTTTTCCTTGGCGACAGACAACAGTTGGCCCTAACCCCAATATAATTTCATCCATTTCGGTATTGGCTCAATAAAAACTAAGCTAGGCCATTTCAAGATCCTGCGGTGTTTTAAGCACGTGAACCTCTGTCCCAAGGCAAAAATGTAACATTAGGAAACAATGTATGATTTTTCCAACTTGATAGAAAGGCATATAACTGCTTGCAGCTAACCGGGATTATCCGTTAGCATCTTCCAACGTGGTCGCTGCAATGATCTTTCACCTAAATCAGCCCTCAGGAAAAAAAAACAACCACACAAGTCTCATTTTATTGCCATCTTTGACAAATACGAAACTAAACCTGAGGCTTGAATTACCATGATAATATATTTTTTTACTGCAGGGTCCGGGCGGACAGAAGGCCACACGGCGCATGCCGCTGAAGAGACGCCATCTTTGGCTGGTTCAAACATAAAGATATAAAATTTAAATTTTTGGTCATGAATCAACAACAAGTGGGACACAATCGTGAAGTGGAACGAAATTTATTGGATAATTTAAACTTTTTTAACAAATAAAAAACTGAAAAGTGGGGCGTGCAATATTATTCGGCCCCTTTACTTTCAGTGCAGCAAACTCACTCCAGAAGTTCAGTGAGGATCTTTGAATGATCCAATGTTGTCCTAAATGACTGATGATGATAAATAGAATGCACCTGTGTGTAATCAAGTCTCCGTATAAATGCACCTGCTCTTTGATAGTCTCAGGGTTCTGTTTAAAGCGCAGAGAGAACCATGAAGACAAAGGAACACACCAGGCAGGTCCGAGATACTGTTGTGGAGAAGTTTAAAGCCGGATTTGGATACAAAAAGATTTCCCTCAGCTTTAAACATCTCAAGGAGCACCGTGCAAGCAATTATATTGAAATGGAAGGAGCATCAGACCACTGCAAATCTACCAAGACCTGGCTGTCCCTCCAAACTTTCATCTCAAACAAGGAGAAGACTGATCAGAGATGCAGTCAAGAGGCCCATGATCACTCCGGATGAACTGCAGATAACTACAGCTGAGGTGGGAGAGTCTGTCCATAGGACAACAATCAGTCGTGCACTGCACAAATCTGGCCTTTATGGAAGAGTGGCAAGAAGAAAGCCATTTCTCAAAGATATCCATAAAAAGTCTGGTTTAAAGTTTGCCACAAGCCACCTGGGAGACACACCAAACATGTGGAAGAAGGTGCTCTGGTCAGATCGAACTTTTTGGCCACAATGCAAAACGATATGTTTGGCGTAAAAGCAACACAGCTCATCCCCCTGAACACACCATCCCCACTGTCAAACATGGTGGTGGCAGCATCATGGTTTGGGGCTGCTTTTCTTCAGCAGGGACAGGGAAGATGGCTAAAATTGATGGGAAGATGGATGGAGCCAAATACAGGACCATTCTGGAAGAAAACCTGTTGGAGTCTGCAAAAGACCTGAGACTGGGACGGAGATTTATCTTCCAACAGGACAATGATCCTAAACATAAAGCCAAATCTACAATGGAATGGTTCACAAATAGACGTATCCAGGTGTTAGAATGGCCAAGTCAAAGTCCAGACCTGAATCCAATCGAGAATCTGTGGAAAGAGCTGAAGACTGCTGTTCACAAACGCTCTCCATCCAACCTCACTGAGCTCGAGCTGTTTTGCAAGGAAGAATGGGCAAGAATTCCAGTCTCTCGATGTGCAAAACTGATAGAGAGATACCCCAAGGCACTTGCAGCTGTAATTGCAGCAAAAGGTGGAGCTACAAAGTATTAGCGCAAGGGGGCCGAATAATATTGCACGCCCCACTTTTCAGTTTTTTATTTGTTAAAAAAGTTTAAATTATCCAATAAATTTTGTTCCACTTCACGATTGTGTCCCACTTGTTGTTGATTCTTGACAAAAATTTAATTTTTATATCTTTATGTTTGAAGCCTGAAATGTGGCGAAATGTTGAAAGGTTCAAGGGGGCCGAATACTTTTGCAAGGCACTGTATGTCATCCCGTCTGTAATTAAATACTGCGATCATGATACGCCATTTCAGAGTGACTGAATGTCACTTTATCTACTTGTTATCCTGCCAGATATGTCAGATATTATCTGGCAGTAATAATAATTTTATACTATACAGATATCGTAGACAGATTGATGGATAGATAGTGATAGATAGATGGTGATAAATACTAGAGGTGCAACGGTTCATCACTGATCCGTGATCCGTTCGGTTCAACGTCTTCGGTTCGGTACAGACGTGATCCGCGGTTTGATTTATGAAAAAAAAGTTGTGCGCACGTTGTTCAGTCCACACACAGCGCGGTCATTGCGAGCGGAGGAACGGAGATGCTTGAAAGCCCCGCGTCATTTAAATTCCCAGTATGAGAGCATTTTGGCTTCACTGTAACTACACTGATAATTAATATTCGACAAAACTGTCACGATGTGTAAGCACTGTGGCACAAGAAAGACATGAGTGAAAAAAGCGTCTCAACGACCGCTTATTGTCGCGGCATTTAAGCAGCTCCTTTACGCACAGTCAGACCGGGCTAAAGTCAACTCTCCCGCGCATCACAGCTGCGCTCACGACTGACGCTCGGACGTCCCGCGGAACCTATAATAGATCCATGAGCGGAACCGCTCACTTCATCACCGCAGACTGGGAGATGAAAAGTCTGGCGCTGCAGACACGCCCCCTCTACGACAGTCACACAGTCACACAGCGCAGGTACTGACACAAGCAGCGGAGGAATGGAAGACAAAGGCCCAGTACTAATATCCCAGTCACAACTGATAATGCCAAAAATTAAATAAATGCAGTGAATGAGGCTGGGCCCAGAATGGAGCGCCTCCTCGGGAGAATCAGGAAGGTGGTGTAATATATGAGAGTAAATATCCTCATAAAGTGCCTTCTTATGTTGCACTTTGTGTTGTTTTTCATTAATTATGTTAAATAGACATAATTGGATGGATGGAATATTCCATCCATCCATCCATCCATTTCCTTCCCCTTAATTCATTTCTAGGTCAGGGGGGGCAGTCAGAGCAGGTGCCGAGTCCACATGAGCTGTGTTTATTAAAAAGACAACACTTTTTTTTTGAAAAATTAACCGAAAAATGAACCGAACCGTGGCCTCTGAACCGAGGTACGAACCGAACCGTGATTTTTTCAAACCGTTGCACCCCTAATAAATACAGTAGGTAGAGTGAATGATTGATTGATTTGATATTGAAGCATATTCAGCGTGCTAAGAAACATAGCAGTATATATTGTATATTTTGTGTGCTCCCTGTGTGCCCCAGTGTTCCCCACTGTGGAACGAATAAAGTTTATTTTATCTTTTAGTATGTGAGGCATTTAGTTATAACTGTGCTGTCCCTGTAGGTTGAATACAGACTCACGTACCAGGTGGAGACTCCTACAGCCATGAACACTCCACAGAGCAACATCTCCAGCCAGGGGGAGCTGCCGCGTGTACCGTCTGGTTTGTCAATATTTTTGTCTTTTTTTCACCGCGGATAAACATATGTCCCCAAATCACAGTATATAAATAAAGCATATGACAAACCCATCATTTCTATTAAATATAGTTGGATCTTGTGTATTTTTATGCATTTAATTGTCATTCTTGGTGTCTGTAGGTTACTGTAGAGTAATCTTTGCTTGGCAAATGGTAGAAATAGTAGAAATGCTGAGGGAATATTGTGTGTGTTTGCAGTGTTCAGAGTGGATCTCTTCTGTTCGGGAAAGGTGGACGGAGAGGCGGTGGTGACGGTGCAGCTCAATCTCACAGTCCACGCAAACAACTACACAGTGCTCAACTTCAAGAGGAGGAAAATGTGCTACAAAAGTCAGTATCCAATCTAATTTATTTGTGCGTCACCATAAATCTCAAGTTATCGTCTCTAAGGATGTCACAAAGTTGAATGATCAGAGAATCAAACTGTTCAAACACAGCAGATGATCACATTTGAAATGATTAATAGATTTAGTATTTACTGCAATATCACTTATAGATAATGTTCACTCTTGATACAATAGTTAATATGGTATATTTGTTTTTGTTTTCTTTCAAGGCAAAGCAAAAAATCTAATAAAACATCCATCACAAGTAGTAATGCTAGATAGAAGTTTATTAGTATAGCACAGTTTACACAATGTGCTAAAATGTGTTATATTATTATAATCATCATAGTAACTATCCAAAATATAATATTTTGATGTCCGACCCTTGGAGCTCACAATGCCTCTTCGACTAGTTAGTCCCCCCCTGTTCTATTGCCTCACAACATCTACTGTATACTGTTGCTGCCTTTATTGCATTTCAATTTCATGCTTTCTTGCTGTATACAATAGTCACTTTAAATCTATTGACCATTCCAAACCTGATTATGACTGTAATATGCCTCTTTTCTCTTCTCTTGTCTCCAGAAATAGATCCTGATCCAAACCGTCCCTCTCTCTCAAACAACTCGCTGCCAAGACCCGACTGTAAGTGCTCCCATCTACCTTCGCATGCAAAAGAAAAACACAGAAATGCACTTTATTTACGAGAGGGAAGTGCCGGGAGATGGACCACTGCTGCTTTTCCTCCTGCAGCTAAGAACAAGCCAAGAGAGAGGGTCCGCGTCTTGCACAGGACAGGGTCAGCTTCCCCCCACTCATTTGTGCTGGGGTTGCGGTTCATTCACGCTCTTTGTGTAAGCCCTCTGCCCAGTAACAAAGTGCCATTAGCAGTCTGCCTTTATGCTTGGGTAGGCCTAAGGAACCCGGGGCCCTCAGAGGATCCCGTATCATAGAGGGTAATGAGAAACGCTCTCAGACATGAGGGGAATAAGAAAGACCGTCCCGCTCTAGGCTTCCATTAACCTTAACTGGACCCCCTATGGATGGTGATGTAAGCCAGAGCTGAATTGTATTTGTAGTAGTATGATTAAGGACTAGAGTTGCAAAGGGGCCGGACATTTCTGGAAAGTTTCTGGTAAATTTCTATGGCATGTTAAGCTGGGGAATTTTGGGAATACTCCATATTAGAAACTAATAAGGAATTATTATAAAATGGTGTCATATTCACACATGAATATGTACCAAATTCAGAAGAAAAGAAAGAAAAATGTCAGATATTTCAACTAGTATTTATAATAGGTTTAAATTATTTTATGGAACTTGTTTCATGGAAGAACAAAAGCAGAAAGTGGAATGAGCTTCAGCAATAAAAAGGCCATATGAGGTAGCTAGCATCTGCTTTGTGAGGTAAATAAAGTTATGCATAGTTATGATTACTGCTCTGACAACTCTACCACAATAAAAATACACATATTAGCCGTATTGCTATATAAGCCACTGGGATCAAAGAAATAGAAAAAAAAAGCATTTTATAATCTGGAAATTACAGTACTTTTTGTAATTTTTCATGTCATTTTTTTGCATTGCCTCCAGTGAGTGTAAAGCCTGGTTCACACGGCAGAATAATTAGGCCGATTTAAGACTATTCATCCCTGACAACAACCTTAAACACACTCAGATTTTTTGTAAAATAATCTGATGGATTTTCCTGCCATGTGTGGTGTGTTAAGACTGCGCTCGTCGCTCAGAAGGACTTCGGGACTGCTCCGATCTCAAATCTGGGATTTTCAACATGTTTTTGGCCCGATTTCTCTTTGTGTGTGGTGTCCCCAAGGACAGATGAGCACTTTGCCAGTGGACTGCAGCGTGTAGCCAATCAGAAACGAGGTGACGAGGCGGCAAGGAAACACCAGGAATAAAAACTGTTAGCAGCATGGCGTACCAGTAAGTCCGGTGGACGTCGGAGATGGAGGACCAACTCGTCAACCAATGGCAACTTTTGATATCGCCTTTTCTATGTTAAAAACAAACTGCTAACTTTGTTCACTGCGTCCACCTCTTCCACCATGATTGTTTAGTCTAAAGTCACGCTTGATCTCGAGAGATTTTGCTAGATTTCTGTCTTACCTGTGACTGCTGGAGTCAATTGTCAAAAGTTGCCAAAGTTGTTAGACCCTTGATTTTTAATCTCCGTGTGTAGGATCTCTCAGGTTTGGAAAATCGGCCGCCAATTTCAAAATCGTCTCATGTGAACCAGGCTTTACATGCCTATTCTAGCCTTTGTTCTCTTTGTGCCTGTGGCTGCTTCATAAACAACTGCACTTCTCTGTATTTTCTCTCGTTCATGTTTTTCCTGTGTGCTTTGCTCCCAGTAGATGTGACGACTCCCACCTCCTCCACTCAGGTCTTCTACATCAGCGTTAGCGTGTGTTGCATCGTCATCTTCCTCGTGGCCATAGTGTTGGCCATTCTCCATCTGCACAGCATGAAGAGGGTAGAGATGGAGGACAGGTGCGACACACTTTTTCACTCAGCTCCAAAATGGGTCATCTGTGAGCTTTTAGCAAGTTTGAACATGCGTGTGTGAATGTGCTTGGGATACTGAAGTTTAACTGCATTGAGCCTCAGGTGATGTGTCATTTTAATATTGTTAGAAATCAGATAACATCCTTCCTTCTGCATTTCCTCTTTCATAAATGCTTCACTCAAACTTGGCACATGAAGGCTGGAAGTCAATATCTCTGGATATGTCATTGTCCTGTTTATCTAATGGACGCTACAACCAGTATTATTATATTACTGTATATTAGTTTTACTGTGTAATAGTTTTAGGCAAGAATAGTGTTCTATTGTATATATTATAAGGATCAACGTATTTGCTTCTGTATTTCTCACATCGCAGCAGTGAAAGTGTATGTGCCTGTACGTGTGTGTCTCTCTCTCTCTCTGTCAGTGTCTCTCTGCTTTTGTCTGTCTGTCTGTCTCTCTCTCTCTAGCCATCTCTATCTATGTCTCACCAGCTCCTCATAAACGCTGTAATTTAGCAAAAATGACGTAGATCTCCGAGATCTCTTGAAACCAGCCACTTTCCCTCTCCTCAATAATGTTAATTGTATCATTCTTTTCTCCTGTAGTGTGAGTGACAGTGGCAGCTCCCAGGGCCTGTCCCAGCCTTCCACACAGACCACGCAGTACCTTCGGGCCGACACTCCCAACAACGCCACTTCAGTCACCAGTAAGACCCCAGCTCCAAACACCACCTCTTCACTAACCTCTCGTCCTCCATAAACAACATTATTTACTGTCCTCTTGTTTTATTTTAAGAACATTCGCCATAATTTAATATTGGAAAGAACATTGGTGCATAAATATAGTTTGTTTATTCTCACTCCTCAGCTCTGCATGCCTCTCTCAATGCGATAACCAGCCCTGAATGACCTATTCGCTAAACTGGTGTCATAAGATTCAGATAAAGGTTTGTTTTACTGTAGAGCTATGGTTTTGGGACTTAGTATTTTCTGATCATATGTGTAGCATTACAGACTAGTTGAATTTGAACTAGCACTGCACCAAATACTGCAACAATTTCCTCATTAAAAGCAAAAGTTTCATCAAGGCAGTGTCTTTAAAAGTGTATTTTAAAAGTCTTACATTCCAAAAGTTGAATTTTAGGCCTTAAAACTCCTGCATGACAGTCGTCTGTCTCAAAGTCAAACACAACCTAGATCAGATTCAGTTTATTTGCCATTTGCCATAAAACTGCATTGGAATACATGTGGTAAGGTCCACTTAAAAACTAAAAGTACAATGAACAATTGCCACTGTGACACCAATCAACAAAAATAGTATCAATAACCAGGGCCAGATCATTAAAGTGCTTTGTTCGGACTAATAATAGCTTGTGGAAAGAAGTTGTTTGGATATCTGTTAACAAATGATGTCTTCTGCCAGAGGAAGAAGCTGGAACATGGCTTTTCCAGCGGCCAGAAGAGTCATTGATTATTCTACGAGCTTGGTTTAAGAGTCTGGTCTGGTCCTGGGCTATAATTGTCAAACCCTGTTGGAAAGTCTTCTGTGCAGAATTCTAAATGCCCAAATCTAATCTATTCTTAAAGTCAAACAAAACTACTTTCATAAGAATCATCCCCATGATGTCCTCGAAGAGTTTAGACAGAAATCTAAACTCTCCAGGATTTAAGTTTAGTTCGGGTGTTTTTGGCTGGTTCCTGCTGTAATTATGCGCAGGCCTGGACTGTATTAAGCTAAAGGCAAAATAATCTGGAATGACTTTTAAGAAAATCTTTGAGCAATATGAGATCAAAAGATCAAAAGTTATGATATCAAAAGCTTTTGCGTGTGAAAAGTGTCCCAGCTGTAACTGTATAACATTATGTAAATGTAAAACGCACATAAAAAATCCTTTTATCACTGCCCTTTGACAACGTACAGAGCCAAAATATTTCACTAACTCTCATGTTGGATTTATGCTTTATGGCCACATAACTTTTATTTGTTATTATCTTTATATATGTTTTGAAGTATAGAATGTTTTGGGACATAGATGGGTGGTATGATGGCAGAGTGGTTAGTACTCTCGCTTCTCAGCAAGAAGGTTCTGGGTTCAATTCCACCTTCAGAAGGAGCTTTTCTGAGTGGAGTTTGCATGGTCTCCTCGTGTTTGCGTAAGTTTTCTCTGGGTGCTCCAGTTTCCCCCACCACCAAAAATATGTACATTTGCTCCCCTCTCTCTCAGATCAGGACTCCCCTGAAATTAGATTTCGGGAGAAAAATCCGGGAAAAAACATGACATAACTTTCAATCAATTTTTAAATTATTATATTCAGATGCTTAAGGTCCGTATAAAACAAAAATGTAAACAAACAACCTCGGATTGTTGATGGTGTGTGTCTCTCTGTGTGTGTTTGTATAAACATAAGTTGATTTTGTATCAAATCATCCCATTTGAGTTTTCTTGTGAATCATAAGACCAGTCCTGCTCTCTCCACTTATCTGACAAGGCCTCTTTTGACAATCTTGTGAATTATAATCTTGTACAAGTGTCAGTTTTTTTGTTTTTCTCCAAATGAGAACATGGGGCAGTGCTCGGATGGCTATCAGGGCTCATTCTGACACTTATGGCAGAGATTTACCAAGCGTCTTTGACCTGTATACCCCCTCGCCATTCGTATTGGGCACGAGTACCGGTACTAAATATGTTGTGTTGTGTGCTTCCGACTGTTCTGTAACTTGTGATGCAACACTGAAATTTACACACTGCAGGACTAATGGAGGATCTCTTAATGTAGCTTTATCGTTAAGGGGGAACGTGTCTGATGTACCTCAAGGGTCAAACTCTTTCTGGTCTGGGGCCACAACTATTTAGGCTTTACTGTAATATCAAGGTCTCTGTTGGGTCCTTTCGGTAACGTCTGCTTATAACTCCTCATTTGCATCTTTTGATTATTTTGTAATTCATTGTATGTGTTTATTATTTAGGTATGTTTTAGTTAAGCTGAATTTTAGATTTTGAACACAATTAGTTCAGGCTCAGGCTCAAAGTCATGCTATTGCCCCAATTACTATTATTATTATTGTGTTCTAGCTTCAATGTTCAGAATTTAATAATTGTTGATAGAGAGAACACGCCATAGTAGCCCATATTAACTTTTTCTCAGTATTTGGAAGTTTTGAAAATGTATTTAAGTAGCCTCCCTGTTACACCACTGCATACCCCTATAGGATTTGGCCATTTCAAAGTCTTTCTGAATTGGCTAAACACATGATGAAGAAATATGCATCTCGATTGTCAAAAATGATGATGATGCCAACTGGGACAAAATAGTGAATACATCTTTGATACAATCTATCAATGTATCAAAATTTGGTCACCCAGTCACTATATGAAATGTGTAATGTATTGTCATCTAGGTTTACTTCAGTTTAAGCCCTATTGTAGTGTCCTGCTTTTGTCTAGTTTCTGATAAGTTATCTTAGTTTTAATACCAAAAATGGCTACCACCACTTCCATGTCCTCTGACGAGCCTTGAGATGTGTTTTTCCAATAGTATCCTGCTGCCCCCTTGTGGATAGGACATGTAACACCTGTGCATTCGTTTAACCCCCTCTTGCCCTTTTGTATGTCTGTCTGCATTTGTGATTTATATTTTTCTGCCCATCACGCCTCTTTTTAATACACCCCTGTCTCATCTCCCTTCACCTCTTCATCAGATAATCACCCTGGCTCCACACCCATTCTCCAGCTTGCCGCCTCCTCCTTCCAAAACCCCGGTGTCCCCCCCCACGAACCCAAAAGTAAGTGCTAGTAGTCAGGTCTCCGAAAGAAAACCAGTCTGCTTTAAGCTTTGCATGTGGATAAATACATTCATACATTCATAGTAAAAATAGATACTTTATTAGCAGAAAGTAGATGTACAGTAGCAGCAGTAATAGGCCAGGGGCATTCATCCATTCAGGCTGTGGTTCCTGACTTTGTGTCTATGTAATTAATATTATATTTCGTTTGTTAGAATGAATCTGAACTTGACTAGGTGTGTCACAGGAACTGGTGTAGTTCCAGCGTACAGTGAGACTTTCCAGCCTGTACTCTGAGTCTGCTGAAGTTTTTTTAAGGCTATAAACTTAAATAATATTTTTTTGTCCCAATCCACATTTTTATATAGCACATTTAAGTAGTATACTGGCCTGCCAGCTTTATGTGTAATAAAAACATAAATACAAAAAAAAAGAAACATTAAAACCTATGACATGAAGGCAATTAAAATTATACATACATAAAAAGCTAATGTAAAATAAATAAAACTGAAGACCACAGAAATCACGCAGTGTTAGCATTATCTCTGACAGCTGTGAGCTGATTGGCTGAGGGAAGGTAGAGGCCGGGTTGGATCAGATGCTAGGTCTAAACTGCTAAAGGCTTGCATACATGCATGTGAAAACAGTTTTGAGAGCATGGAAGTAGTTAGACGGATTCAAACCAGGTATTTTTTATTTAAAAAAAAAAAAAATAAGAAGAAAAGTACCACAATATTTTTTGTCTCAATACGCGTCTTAATTAGCGGGTTCATACTGTGACATCCCTAATTATGACATACTGACTTTGTCTTATTAGAAAATATTTTAATTTAAAGCCGTTCGTTTTATATCACAAAAAAATTCTCAACCCAAAGCATCATGAGTCACTACACTTCTAAAGTTTACAAAATATAAAAACTTTCTGTTCAGATAAACATGAAAAAGGTTATGTACCTCAGATTTTACACATGCACTGCTTCTAATATTTCATCTTGTGTATTTGAAGTTGTTCTACTGGAAAATGTTATATATATATATATATATATAATTTTTGTAATTGTTTGTTCCTCCTATTCAAGTCGTTTATATCATCTGCTTGTTTAACAAACTTTTCTGTCTGTCTTTTCAATTTTGTTCACTTTATATTTATTAGAAATATTACCATTAGATATCATTCAGAAATGAACACGGTTGTTTTTTACTTTACTGAGTTAAACATGTTTAAAATTTCATTCCAAATTATTTTTGTACCTTTCTCAACCACCACCAGGGGGCGACCTACACTGCTTTTTTAATAAATGGCTCCATTGCTCTCAGGCATATATGTCTCCTGTTGTGTGTATTTTGACCCCATATATAGAAAGGCCATTTTATTCGTTCCATGATGATGGATGAAGCCCAAATATAGAAATATTGTCTTTACACAGTCTGTTTTTTTTCCATTGTAAGTTCACACTGTGGGGAACTTCACCAACATGAACTTTTGCAAAGACTTTATTACGTAATAGCCCCACTGTCATTACGGATCAGTCTTTGGTTGAAGCAAGAAGCCGGTTTCTTGTAAAGGCTGAAGTTATTTGAATTTGGCCTCCTTATTAGTTTAACTAACATTATTGATATCTTTAAACTTGTAATACAATTGAATTTAATGTATTTGCGTATTAACGGTCTGCGACTACTCTGTTTAAAAGAAAAATGCACTTTAGAAAGCAACATGCAGTACAGTATACCCTCACTATAACGCGGTTCACTTATTGCGGTCTTTTTATGTTACACATGCACTGCGTTTATACTCCCACAACATCTTATAAACGCTAGTATAACATGACATTTACCTTTTATTTAAAGTCACAAGAAAACGTTTGTGACTTGTGCCAATGGTGATTAGTTCAAAGGACTCTGCCTTTGGTCTCTTTTGGTCTTTGGCTATTGTCTCTCTGGTCATTCTTTGGTCATTCTCTGGTCTCTGCGCCGCTGTGATTAGTGATTGTGATTAGTTTAGAGCACTACCGCAGTCTTCCCGTGCTGCTGCCCCCCAGTGCAGTGTCCTCTGCAGCTGTGTTTTTTACAGTATATGCTCGTCTTTTGACAGCTGCAGCAGTGCTCAGGCCCACAGCCAACAGGTTTGATATTCCCGCAGTCGTGAGTTCAGGTGGTTAGAAAAGTGTGTGTGGGGGGTTTTACAGCCTTAACACATGAGCTGCTACTTTCACTTATTCACTTATATTTCCAAAAGGTAAACCCCATAATAAACCAGGAACCAGTGTATTATATATTTGTGAATCTAAATACAGCTCCTTTGCGCAGGTTTCCCGTCTCTTCGCATCGAGAAGAACGACCTACGCAGCGTTACTCTGACTGAAGCCAAAGCCAAAGTGAAAGACATCGCTATCTGCAGGGAGAGGGTGACACTGCGGAACGTCCTCCAAGAAGGTACTGCACCCCCAACATGTTCAAGATATATCTCTGCTGTAGTTTGGGCTTATTTAAAGCTGGGGTACCCAAGTTTAAAACCTCAAAAGGTGAACTATACAATCCAATTCTTTTTACAGTGCCTTGCGAAAGTATTCGCCAGATACATAACTAACAGGCAAGACAAAAAAATATATATATATATATAAATAACTAAATAAACAACAACAAAAAATAAGAAAAACAAACCAAACACACACAAGTCCCCGAGGCCTTCATCCACTTATCCATTCTCTCACTTGCCATTTTCTATGGGACATCAGTCCCATTTCAACATCTTCCATTTTTTTTTGTGCACAATTATCCTTTTTGTGTTTGACGCTATTATTTTTTCCATTGCATATTGTTGTTTCAGTTTATTTTTAAAGTTATTCAAACAGAGTTCTGCATTGGTTTTACATTTAAAGATAACAATTTTACCCATCAGGATGATTACATTCTCTACATTCGTTGAGTTGCTGTCCAAGATTCCCAACATTATATTCATGGGATTGATGTCAATCTCGATCCCTAATCCACACAAGCATCTTTGGACCATTGTCCAAAATAATGAAACATATGGGCAAAAATAAAATAGATGCATTAGGTCTTCCTCCTCCTCTTCACAGAATCTACACATGGGGCTTTTAATGATCTTACATAAATTCAGGTGTTTTCTTGTTGCTGTAATTTTATAGAATAGCTTTATTTGGAAAACTTTAGAGTAAGAATCTATGGCAGTTTTGTATATATTTTGGAAAAAATGTTTCCATAAAACCGGACAATTAAATTCATATTCCCATGCAGTGCAGATTCTGTGAGGGTAGAAGGCTGTTCCAGACATACAAACATTATACTTGTACATATGTTTGTTTATCTTGTCCATTAAGAATTTGTTGCATCTCACTCGTGGCAAACACGAAAGCTTGAAAGCTCAGCCATGCCTTGAATGCATCTTTAAAGAATGTGAAGATATTTATCAGTTCAACATTCATTATTTGGTTAATATGATTGGCTTTAATCTGGAAAAATGGAAATAATTTACTCTGAAAAATTGGGTATGCTTTAGTTAGCATTTGACTAGATATCCAATTAGGGTTGTGATACAATTTATGAATCCAGGAGGCTTTCAGAGATTCATTCATGATTTCTAGATTTTTTAAGTTTAATCCACCATTTTCAGGCGAGTTGTACATATATTGTCTTTTAATTTTGTCTGGCTTATTATTCCATATAAATGTAAACATTTTTTGTTCAAAACATTTAAAGAATTATCTGTCCGGTGAGGGAAGTGTTAGCAATAAATATACCATCTGAGGGATTACAAGACAATTTATTAATGTTACTTTTCCCATCATCGTTAAATGTGTTCCCCTCCATGGCAGTAACAGACTATCTACCTTTTTCATTCTTTTATCAAAGTTAAGCCTTATGGTTTCTTCAGTTTTACTACAAATATGAATTCCTAGAATCTTTTCATCGCTATTAGTCCATTTCACGGGTACTGAACATTTGATCTCAAAATCTGAACCTGAAATGTTTCCTAATCTCATAATTGCACACTTTCCAAAGTTCGGTTTTAGGCCAGACATATTTGCAAATAATTGTAATTCTTTTATCAGTTCATTTAGTGATTGTTCCTCAGGTTGTAAAAAGAAGGTAGCATCATCTGCATACATTGTTAGTTTGATTTCTCTGTTATTTAGTTGCAAATCTTTAATTGAAGTATTATTTCTAACTCTGATGGCCAATATTTCCATACACAGAATAAATAAGTACGGAGACGGGGCCATCGCACATTGTCGCACACCTCTGGATAAAATGAAACTGTCTGATCAATACCCATTATTAACTATTTTACTAGTTGGTTGGTTATATAGTGTTTGCACCCATCTTAAAATATTATTTCCAAAATTGAAAAATGTTAGTGTACTGTACATAAACTTCCAACTTATTTTATCAAATGCTCTCTCAAGATCCGAAATAAATAAAATTCCAGATTTTTCATGTTTTTCGTAATCTTCAATTATGTCAATAACTTGTCTAATATTTTCCCCTATAAACCTTCCTTTAATAAATCCTACTTGCTCATGTTTTATAATATTTCCAATTACTTTTTTCATACGTTGAGCTATACATTTGGTGAGTATTCTTGTGTCACAACAAAGTAGTGTTAGGGGTCTCCAATTTTCTACTTGTGTAGGGTCTTTGTATTGGCCATCAGAGTTTTGCTTCAACAGCAGTAATATCACACCTTCTTTTTGTGACGTTGGCAATTCACCTTTTGATGTTTTTTTTATTTCCTTAAAAAACACAAAGTAAACTTCTATGGGAATTCCATCTAACCCTGTGGCTTTCCCAGGGGAAAATGATTTAATAGCATCATATAACTCATCCTCTGTTAGCTCCCCTTCACAACTTTGTTTCTGTATTAATGTTAGTTCATACTCTTTTGGATCGGGGAAAAAATGACAAATACCAGATGACTGACCATCTTTGTGAGAAAATAGTGTTTTAAAATAGTTCACTCCCTCGTTTAAAATTTCTTTGGGATTTGATAGAGTTCCATTTGATGTTGACAAGTTGACAATGTTTTTTTTGGTAACATTTCTTTCCTGTTATCTTAAGAATTGTGCAGTACATTTCTCCTCATGTTCCATCCATGTCGCTCGTGATCTAGTAATGAGTCCAGCTACACACTCATAGTAGAGATTTTCTAACTCATCCTGTTTTTGTTTGATTGTGATAGAGAGCTCGGCTGCAGAATATTGTTCACTATCAAGTTTTTCATTCAGCTCCTTAAGTTCCTGCATTAATTGTTTTTCTTTGTCTAAAGCCTCTTTTTTTTTTAATAGAAGAATTTTTTATGCAGTGCCCTCTGAAAGCACATTTAAAAGCTTCCCAGACCATATGGGGACTAGCTGTATTTTCATTCATTTGAAAAAACTCATCAATAAATGTCGTTGTTTTGTTGATAAAATGCTCATCCTTTAACAATGATTAATTGAATTTCCAGAAACCTTTTCCTCTTGGATATTCAGCAATTATTATTTTAAGTGAAACCAGCGAATGATCTGATCTTAATTTGTCACCAATATAACATTGAATAATTTTAGAGACCAAGGAAAAGGAAAGTAAGAAATAATCTAGCCGACTGGCCTGCTGCCCTCTGCGCCAGGTGTACCGTATAGAATCTGGGTGCCGAAGCCTCCATATGTCGACTAAATCAAGAGAGGCTTTCAGCTCCTCTATTTCATTCAGGGCTTGTGGATGGTTATTAACTGTATGTGTACCGGCTCGATCTTTTTTTACATCTAAAACAGTATTAAAGTCTCCAGTTAATATTATTTCCGATTTATCTGTAAGGTTAATGTGATTGAGCATATTACCAAAAAAATCCGGATTGTCATCATTAGGGGCATATATATTGATTAACTTAATGATCAGGTTTTCAATTGTTATATCTGTAACTAACCATCTTCCATCTAAATCAGCCTGAACTTCATGTACTGTGTGAACTAGATCCTTCTTGAACATAATCATCACCCCTCTGCTGTTGCTAACCCCATGACTGAAGTAAATATCACCCTCCCATTCGGATTTCCATTGAGTTTCATTCTCCGGTGTTGAATGAGTTTCCTGTAAACAATTTTTTTTTACATCTGGCTTATCTTTGAACCAAGCAAATATTTTGTTTCTTTTTGTGGAATTGGCCAACCCATTGCAATTATATGTTAAAATTTCTATACTACATTCCATTAAATATTATTGTAATAATACTCAAGCAATGAGGGCCTGATATACTTGTAATCATCTTCAAGGACTTGTATGACTTTGTAATCTTTTATCCCCGAGTCCTCATCCTCAACTCAGCCACTTGGCACGGTGGCTGAGTGGATAGCACTCTCGCCTCTCAGCAAGAAGGTCCTGGGTTCAAATCCCGGTTGGACCAGGGCCTTTCTGAGTGGAGTTTGCATGTTCTCCCCGTGTCTGCGTAGGTTTCCTCCGGGTGCTCCGGTTTCCCCTACCACTAAAAATATGTACAATACAGTGCCTTGCGAAAGTATCCGGCCCCCTTGAACCTTTCAACATTTCGCCACATTTCAAGCTTCAAACATAAAGATATAAAATTTTAATTTTTTGTCATGAATCAACAACAAGTGGGACACAATCGTGAAGTGGAACGAAATTTATTGGATAATTTAAACTTTTTTAACAAATAAAAAACTGAAAAGTGTGGTGTGCAATATTATTCGGCCCCTTTACTTTCAGTGCAGCAAACTCACTCCAGAAGTTCAGTGAGGATCTTTGAATGATCCAATGTTGTCCTAAATGACTGATGATGATAAATAGAATGCACCTGTGTGTAATCAAGTCTCCGTATAAATGCACCTGCTCTTTGATAGTCTCAGGGTTCTGTTTAAAGCGCAGAGAGAACCATGAAGACAAAGGAACACACCAGGCAGGTCCGAGATACTGTTATGGAGAAGTTTAAAGTGGACATATCAGTCTATGATGCTCACACGCCGGTTTGTTTACAACAGCGGCCGCCCGGCGCGGGCCTACGTCGCAGGATATGACGCACTACGTTGACAGAAATGTTTAAATTGAATATTACTTATGCACAATTTTACAGCATTTAAAAACTTTAAGAACGTTTTTCCTTCTACAGAAGGAAAGAGACGCATTCGCCTCCGGAGCCGCAGTTTGCCGACTCCTAGTTTATACAGTATGTGGAAGCATACTGTAGAGGATCAGGATATGTGCAGTTTCAACAATAACATAAAATGCAATAGTCTACATTACAAGAGGGTAATGAACATGTCTCAGAGTGAGGGAGGTGGGCACAGACAACACTATTGTTTGTTACAGGGATGAGAATTGGTCAAAAAAGACTGAAATGCATATTGTCAACCATTTGCTGGCTCTAAATCTGTTTAATTTGTTCACAACATATTACTTTTGGGCTCAAACATGAACTTTTTATTCAATGCAAAATGTAGGTATCAGAGCTTTATTTAGGGCGTTTAATCGCGCTTCGAGAGGAGAGACGCGGACTGTTTCCTGCAGCAGTGTATTTATTGGGTGCACAGATTACTCAAAGACACGCATGGTCCTGTGCGCGTTTATGGGGTTGGGTACATGGCCACGTTGAGGCTGCGCGCTCAGCCACAACACGGTGGAGCGGCTGCGAGTGGCTGGACGCTCACAGCCTCTCGCAGCCGCTGGACGCGGAAGCTGCTCATTACAAAGCGGCCGCAGATGCCCCGGAACACTGTGGCCGCTGAGGTGGCGGAATCCCGTTCGAGTACATACAGCAGGTGCCCCGCGGATACGCGCGCCCCGCTCAAAAAATTCTTCACGGATTTACACTTCTCATAAACATGTGTTTTGTATGAGGCAGACAGACCGGCCCAAATATGGGCATCGGCCCTTTGGGCATTGCCCGGTAC